TGCTGAATGGCTTGAGAATTGGGTCTGTCAAACAGAACATGACCGAGCCCCACCGAGCTGCACTCCCATTTGCAGGGCTGTTATATCTTCCAGGATTAGTTCACTCCATAGAACCAAGATACCTTCTGACTCACCAAAAATAGTCTTTGCTACTGCAGGTGTTGTAAAGCTTTCCACAGACTTGGGGGTTTTTATCCACTCTATTCACAGCAGAAGCCTGTTGCCAGAACACTTCAATGCTTGGAAGTAAATATACATATTTTGTTTCTAGCCTCTATTTAATTCCTAGTTTCTATTTATTGTGCCAACACGTTATTTCACATAAGTGGCTCCTTTTCTCTCCCTGCTATGTTTACCCCTTGATACATCCACAGGGAACAATCATTTTTCCATCCAGTCTTCATTTTGCTCAACTAACAACTCTAACCTTCAAGACTTCCACACAGCAGGTTCTCCACTCCCCAGTCACCCGAGGAGCCCTTCACAAGAGCATAACAACTGGCTGTGACAGACTCCCTTCTGTTTTAATAGTTCCACTTTAATGAGTTACTTGGACATGAGAGACATTGCCCACTGCAGCTTGTATGTTCATACACAATGGTGATTCTACAAAACACAGTAATTACTTAAACAGTGCTGGTGGAGAAAGGGGAAAACAAGATACTGCAAAGAACCTACTGACCTTTCTCCAACCAAGCAAGTCACTTCAACTCTGGTCTTCTAGATTTTTTTTTAAAAAAAATAAATAATTATTCTTGGCTAAGCAATCTAGGCTAAGCACAGAAGAGACAACTCTTCAGCCCTTTTTGTCCCTCATTCAATAAATATTTGATTTACCTGAAATCAAACCAGAAAAAAAAAGATCAAGTTTTAGAGGCTCTTTTTTAATCCATACTCAGAATGCCAGTGGCTTGAATGTGGAGTCTTTATACATTAGCATCAAAAAAGAAGACTGAGGAATGTGGAAGGAATGAATACAAAAATCAGAAGACATGTGTGGGAGGTAAATGTGAAGGAGTAAGCTGCAACCCACCCTTTAAAGGCAGAAGGACTAAAAAAGGGACAGTGACACTGTAAGATGGAACACAACAAGAAAGAAATGCATGAAAAGGTCGTCTTCTCTTTGGGCCTTACTCTAAAAAGTTGCCATCACCACATGGAGCTAAAGCTCTGAACTTCTCCACCCTTGACAACACTACCAGGTAATCTTCCTATTCACTCTTGCCATCAGCTATAAACAGTGAAAACCATTTCAACAGACAAGTATAGCAGCTATTTGAGATGAGCCCCAAGATACAACCAAGAGAAAATGTGACAAACCAATTTATAAGACAGCCAGAATCTAGATCATTGCTGACTTGAAGGATGTACCTAACTTGCATGTAATTTCTTACATTCTTGCTAGTTATTTACACCAGAGACACTAAATTCCACACTGACAACACAAGGCATTGAATAGGCTTCTGCTGGTAACACCTACTACCTTAAGCTCAATTTTACTAAGCTATCTTTGGTGACTGGAATTAAAGCACCTATTTGTGCATCTCTAGCCACCTATTCCCTTGCAGTCCCCAGCACCCAAATTCTACCCATCAGCTTCTTTAAGCATAAATAGTTCTGTTCAAATTTAGCTTGACATCACCCTGACTTTCTCAGTTGTTTTGGTGCTCCTGCAACTAGGATTTTGTTGGGGTTTTGTTCAGTTTAGTTTGTGTTTGGGCAGGATTTTGTTGGCGTTTTGTTCAGTTTAGTTTGTGTTTGGGGTGGGTTGTTTTGTTTTGTTTTGTATTGCTTGGTTTGGTTTAGTTTTGGAGTTGTTTTTTGTTTGTTTGTTTGTTTTTTTTAACTTTCTGATTTATTCTGG